ATCACCCTGCACTGGATACCCAGCCACCTCCCAGAGGACAAGGCCCCCAAGGCAAAACCGCATTCCCTGGCTGACAAGCTGGTCGGCAAGGCTACGCAAAGGGGCCAAGCGCTGGCCTCTGACAAGAAAACGGGGTTGTATAAAGAGTTGGATGAAACCACCGGGGTGTTCAGTGCGTTCGAGCACGAGTTTTTCCAGGCTTATGTTGTTGTGGCGGGTGTACCGTTGCCTACAATGCCGAAGGCCATCATGTCCCACTACAAATCGTCTAGCGCGGTCGCTAGTGTCGCCTCGCCGCTGCTACTACCACACCTAGAGACGACCAGAGTAGCCCTCCGAGGCTTCGGAACTCCTCCTACAAGTCTAAACAAGGATTTGCGACCGAAAATTGACGGCGGGAATACACCGACTGTCGCGCCAGCAATGTCATTTTCCAGTAATACTATTACCTGTTAAATGGCAGGCATCACTTGTCAAATTTGATTTGTTGCTGCCCCTAGATGATTGTTGACAAATATTCTTGTCCTGACCTTAGATGGACGGCAGAGCAGGTGGTGACAAGTTAAACCCTGTCCGTAGCTATACCAGTGCTCTCGAGCCGCAGCATCAGACATTGCAATGAATCTCGGAGAGCTTGTGTAAGCTAGTTGAGCAACCAACAAGGCCTCCTCAGCTGGGGCATGTGTATCCGTCGCGAGCCCACAAATGGTCGGCCGACAGCCGTGAAAATACAGAGCGTTTCCCAGAAGAAGATGAAAAGGCTTGACACCAACGTCATGAGGATGGAAATTGAAGAAATATATCGACAATCCAGAGGCTATGTTGATCTCGCCTAGAGGCGTTACCTCGGCCTCGGGCGTTGCCTGCGGTGTAGGGGGGAGTATCACGGCGCTCGAGTTCTTACATTGCTCTACATGTTGTCAAGAACATACTACTCGACGGCTTAGCGCAGGAAGTGAAACTAGGACTCGAGGTGCCAAGGGGGTAAAACATCGAGAGATCTTGTACAAAACGTATTACTACACCCTTCAAGTCCTACAGAACCAACTCATTAACCCCACAGATGAGCCCGCTTCACACCAATTTCCATCAACCAGACACAAGTCACTCCTCTTCCAGGTCGGCCGGTGGTTCCTGCCCTGTCTGCTCCAGAGGGCCCAACAACTTATCCATTGCTCGACATCCATGAGGTTGACAATGTTCAAACCACCAACTGTATTGAAATGTAGATACATGTAGGGCCATAATTGACCAGTCACAGGCCCTGAAAATTGTCCTCTTCCATCTAGGTCTACATCACCTGCCACCCCACAACCACACCTACGAGCTCATCACCGAGAACCACAACGCGGCAAAAACACCGCCTCAAAAGGCCCAGCCTTCAAAATCAAATTGTCCTTCGACTCCGTTCGGATCCTCTTCCCATCCTCCCCCGGCGCCTTCTCCCAAGTATAGTTATACACCGTGTACGCCATCACAAGCCGAAGGACGCTCATGGCCATCCTCTTGCCGACACAGTTATTCGGACCGACAATAAAGGGGATGAACGCCTCGGCATTTTTGACATACTCTTTGTTGTCGTCCAGCCACCTTTCCGGCCTAAACTGAGCTGGCTCGGCGTAGAACTGTTCGCTGCGGTGGAGGGCGTACGCCGGGACCCGGACCGCCACGCCCCCGGAGATGTGGACGCCATCGACCGTGATGCCTTCGGGGGGTGTCCGTCTGGGGCCGTTGCTGGCGATCGGGTTGTCGACACGCATTGTTTCGTTGATGAGGGCGTCGAGGAGGGGGATTTTGGAGAGGTCTTGGTTGGTGAATTCGTCTGGGATGGTTTTGCCGTAGGCCTTTTGAAGTTGGACGTGGAGGAGGTCTTGGTAGTGGGCGTGGTTGGCGAGCTGGTAGAACAGGTGGGCGAGGACGGCGCCGATGGTATCACTGCAATGATGGAGATCAGTCACCGAGAATATCTTCTGAGAAAAAAAGACCTACGTCGCTCCGGTCAGGACCAAAGCCGCGTCCGAGTACAAGATGATTTTGTTGGTAAAGGCAATTGGCTTTTCGGATCTCATGTCGTCCAGGAAGTGCTGCAGGATGTCGCCCTTGTTGTTGTCTTCCGCCTGTTTTTCGGTCTTGTGTCAGCTTTGTTCATCTTCAGACCAACAGTATCACAGTCCTAACTTACCGCGGCCCTCCTATCAGCCATCAACATTGTCAACTGGTCAAACTCGGCGGCTGTCTTGCTCAGCTTCAGATTCTGGGCAATGCTAAGTAGCCACGTCAATTCTCCCATTTGTCCAATCTTTCCAAACATGCTCTCTAACAAGTGTAGCATCCTGTGTTCCTTTCCGGCTTCAATCGATCGGAACTGGTGCGAAAACCCAACCTTTCCCATGTGATCAAAAGGGATCAAGAGCGAAAACAACGAAGTGTCAATCGGTTTACCATTGAAGCTCGCAACCTTTGCCAACCAGGTATGGCAGACCTCTCGTGTTTTCGGCTCGTGGATCGCCAACGCTAAAAGACAAATTCTATCAGTACACATGCTCTCCCCCGCAATGATCTACTACTACGCTTTGTACTCACCCTTGGTAGAAAACGCCCGCTCCCACACCTTTCTCCGAGGCGCGTGTTCTTCCCTCGTCATAATGGAGTCGAGGTTATACTCCCCCTCGAAATGGATAACATCATAGACTCCGGCATTCAGCTTCCTGCATCCGCTGTCTCTCATGTGGATCTTTCTGATCCCTTCGACCGAACACATAAAGACTTCGTTAGGGGCTACGCGCACAAAGTTGCCGTATTTTTCAAACAGGGCCGCTTGCTCGAGGTGCTTTTGGCCGTTGCGAGCTGCGTACAGGCTCGTGAGCTTGGTTATCTTGGCCAAAAATGGACCAGGGATGTGGCGTAGGGGGTGGAAGAAGAGGCGGTAGATGATGATGGAGGTGAAGAGGGCGGCGAGGTAGGAGAGGAATAGGGTGGTGGAGAGGAGTAAACCTGGGAGGAGGGAAAGGCGGGCTGTTGCGTAGACGGTGAGGAGGAGGTACGAGGTGAGGTGGAAGAGGATGATGCGAAGGGCGGAGGTGTCGTGAAAGCCATGGATGAATCAGCAGGCGTGGGAGAGCAAGCCTGTGAATGAGGCAAGGAGGCAGGGGAGGACAAGAGGGGGAGGGTTGGAGCCATCGCTAGGAAAGAGGAGGAGGTCCATTTTGGTGGAGGTAGACATGCGGAGAGGCGAAGAGCATGAGAGCAGGGAATGGGATTGTGGCTTCTATGTCGCTATCTATAGGTACCAAGCTCCAAGACCTTCAAGCTGGAGTCGTGTTAGTGTCGTGCCTCACAAGAGGTGTGATGTGGCATCACTGCGGGGACTGGGACACCAAGACCCTGTTATCTTGGCGGATTATCGCTCTGCAGTAGGCAGTTGGTAACTTCGGGCCTGGACAGAGAGATCAGATCATCGCTGAAGTTGTGGGGTAGAGGCCTTTATAATGGTTAGCTAAGATCTCCTCCCGCTGTCGAAACAGCGTTTGTCTTATCCTTGCTGCTGATGACGCGGCCCGGGTGGTGCATATGCATGCCGACGGAGTTTGGCGGGGGTTGTCTTATCCCCTGCCGAGAGGCATGTTGGTGAGATTTATGCGGGCCAGTGGGTAGAATATAATTGTACTCATGCAACGAACTTGTGCAAACGGGTATGATGACGGCTTTGTGTGTTTGAGGCTCGCAAAACCAATGTTGTGAAACACTGCTGATAAATAGATATTTCGACGACCTCCCGTCATTGTGATTCATTATGAGCGATTGGCCAGGGACGATTGGTGAGTGGCGTGATACTAACTAGCATGCTGACATGCTGCAGACAGGCAATTATTGATCGAGAAATGCAAATGCGGTTCAGCACTTGGTTGTCCTTTCTTCACATCCCGTTAGACCCTCCTTGGAAAGCATCTCTGTCTGGCCAATTCAAGGCAGCGAGTCGCAAAACGCCTATCTCTGCCTAGGTACCCCGCCATCCCACGTCTACAGCGAATGCAGAGTCAACTGCCGGTCCACATATCAAGCAACCCGGGGAAAATGAAGTCGTATTCCACCCCATCCTCGCGAGTCCCCGACATGAATCACGCTTACACGATATGCAACAACATGTGCTTTAAGGGTACAGGGCGGCAGCGGGGTGAGCTTGTGTATCCTTTGAACAACTCCCCCGCGCACGGGTTTCCTAATTCGAAGTAGTGGCGCAGTTATGGCCTTGATTCTATTCACGATCTACACCGTGAGGGCCTCTGAGAAGCCGCAGCGTTACATAATCGCGGTTGGTTCTCTGGTACGACGTTACACCTAGTTTACATGCATGGAACTATATGGTGATATTGCCATGTCGGTTCGCATCTTCTGCAGCTCTCGAGGAAACCGGTGAGAGATAAGACTATGTTCTCCTCGTCTTGGCTACAGCAAGGCAGACCTTGTGGCGAGGTCGGTATGGGATGGGGGTTGCAGCAGCACCCATGTGAAACTAGAAGGCAGTGAGCTTCGAGTACAAGAAGACCACTCACCCTGGCCTGTGGAGTTTATCTTGAAGATCCAGTCCCTCCTGTCAAGCCTTTCTCATCCAGGCCCAGGATCAAAGCAAAATGGACTTCTTCGACGACCTGATCAACCTTAACTTCGACCTCGACCCCACCACCGCCCTCACCCTCGCAGCAGGCTCCTTCGCAGTCTGGTACATCACCACCGCTTTCATCTCCTGGTACCGCTACCGCCACCTCCCCGGCCCCTTCGTCGCCAAGTTCTCCTACATCTGGCAGGTCTACACCATCGCCACCGGCCGCGTCAAAGAAAACTACATCAACCTCCGCGAGTATGGCCCCCTCGTTTTGACCGCCCCGGGCACCGTCGTCACCAGCGATCCCGAAATCTTCCGCAGGGCCAACGGTGCCAGGAGCAAGTATGATCGATCCCCTTGGTACGCGGCGGGCAAGTTCAAGCATGACACCACCAATATGGGGACTTTGATCGACACCCCCGAACATGACGCGATCAAGTCCAAGACTGCCGGGCCCTATGCCGGGAGGGAGGCAGAGGGTGGGTTGGAGAGTGTTGTTGATGCCCAACTGGTGAGACTTGTGGATTTGATCAAGCGAAAGTATGTCTCTAGGAACGGGGAGTTGGTGCAGACGGACTTTTCCAAGATCTCGCGGTTCTTTACACTGGATGTGATCTCCAAGCTGCTCTTTGGGACCCCGTGGGGCCATCTGGATGAGGGGATCGATGTACTTGGTTGGTGTGTGGCGATGGACGACAGGTTGGTGTTGATGTTCTTGATGATGGAGCTTCCTGCGTTGAGGTACCTCTTTGGCGGAAGCTATGGGCTTTTGAGATGGTTTGGACCGCAGCCAGGCGATAAGTCTGGGTTGGGAGTGGTCATGGGCTACGTTAACAAGCTCATTGGAGAGCATTTTACCGACAAGGATTTGAAGCAAAAGGACATGATGAGCGGCTTCATTCGCAACGGACTGTCAGAGATGGAATGCCAGGGTGAGGCACTCCTTGTAATTTTGGCGGGCTCCGATACTTCTGCGGTTAGTTATATCACTACCCAACATGAGAAAATACAACTGACACATCCCAGGGAACCATCCGCTCCACCATCCTCTACCTCATGTCCAACCCCCAAGCCTACGGCCGCTTCAAGAGGGAGATCAAAGAAGCCCTGCAGCAAGGCAAAGTCTCCTCCCCCATCACCAACGAAGAAGCCCTCAAGCTCCCCTACCTCCAAGCCATCATCACCGAAGCTTCCCGGATCGGCACCCCCTTGACCTTTGGTCACTACAAGGTCGTCCCCAAGGGCGGCGATACTGTGAACGGGATGTACCTTCCGGCAGGAACGGAAATCGGACATAACGCCCTCTCGTTGACGCACAATAAGGAGATCTTTGGTGAGGACGCGGATATCTTCAGACCGGAGAGGTTTCTGGAGGCGGACCCGGAGAGGAAGGCACACATGTTGAAGGCGTTGGATATGCTGTTTGGGTCGGGGAGGTGGACTTGCGCAGGCAAGAACTTGGCGCTGATGGAGTTGAATAAGATTTTCTTTGAGGTAAGTTGATGGGTGTGGTGATGTGGTGATGTGAGGAGAGGTTGCTTACGAGGTTTACTTCACAGTTGCTGAGGCACTTTGACTTTCAGATTGTCAATGTGCAGAACCCGGTCAAGGAGAGGGCGTATTTGACTAAGTTGCATGAGGATATGTTTGTGAGGATTACGGAGACGGATTGGAGTACTATTTGAGGGCTTGCTAAAGGGGTTTGCGTGAACTTCTTTGTATTTGTTATGAGTTGTTATGAGGGGATCTTTGATGGCGTTTATCTGGTCTTTTGTATTCTTTGATCAAACGCGTGGCCTTTGTCTTTCAGAGATTAAGAGTTACCTAGCTGGAATGAAGTTTTGAACCAAAGCACGATATAGTGAACTGGGCATGCTCCTCTTAAAAGAATAAATGGCACAGGAGCTTGAATGAAGAACTTAAAGGGTAACTAACAGACTAACAAATAGGTTGGATGACCAGGAAATGGACCACATGTGGATCTGGTCCACCACCACCACACCAGCCACACAACCTTGTTGAGATTACCCCTGAATGATCACACTGGCCACAACAAGACTAATATTGGGTCAATTTCTATGGGAGTTATACCAAAATGTAGCTCAATCACTGTCAGAGTCAGACATTGCATCTGCTTCTCGCTTGCGCCTGGTTTGAACCCGATGACGTGCGCTGCGCCGCACAGGCTGGGCTGGCTCTGGCTGCTCCACATCCTCCTTGGCTACCACTTCTTCCTCCACCACCCTCCCTTCAATGCGGGCCTCTTCCAGTTCACAGAGTCTCACAAACTTGGAATTCGAGTCTTCTCTATTCAACTTACGCCTTTTCTTGCTTCCTAGGCCTTCTAGGCGTTCTGTTGGTGCCTTACCGCATCAGCTTTGTAGATAGATGCCTCAGATCTCAGTGTGAGTATAGTACTAGTAAGAGTCCTTGCCGCAGGCCGTTTTCCGGCCGGCGTATAGTTCTTAAGTAGGTCCCTGACCTTCTTGGCCACCTAGGAATCCCCCACGGTATGGAAAGTAGGTGTTTTTAAAGAGAGATCTAACGGCACTACAGGGACTACTACCTAGCTTAAAAAGAGCGGTTTGCGCCTACGTATAGGCCATAATCCTATCCCACGCTAGCCGCTAATAATATTTTTTTTCCTAAAACCTTACTTACGGGTAAAGTTATATAGCCGGACTAAGTCGACTTTACTATTAAGTATATAGTTAGTAAGGGCGTCGTTTATAATTATAAGCTTTTTATATACCTTCTTTATACTAGAAAAGTAATTAATATTAAAAGGTTAAAGGACGTAAAAGTAGTAGGGGGGTAGGAAAAGAAAGTAAATATTATTTTTATAGTACCAGATTATAAAGTCGTTAGTAATATATAAACTATAATTATTATAAATAAAAAGATAGGATTTTAATAGATTTTTAAATTTAGTTTTTAATATAAAAACCTTTTTAAGCTAATTAACGGTAAGATTATTATTAATTTAACTATTTTTTAATATAACTATATACTAATCCTTATTTAATTAATCTTTAAACTATTATTTTTAAAGGTTTTTACTTTTAAAAATAATTTCGGGGGGAAGGACTCTCCTGTTTTATAAAATATATTTAAGTATAGTAGTCTAGTGTTACACCCCAAGTATAATAACCCCGTGAAGGAACCACTGGGTGGTTCCCGAGGTGCTGGGACACCTCAGCCAATTATTGGGCCAGGGATGGAAAGACCTATAAAGTTCCTATGTAACTAATCAGGAGGTGTTTAGTTTAATCAGTGGCCAAGACTACTAAGCACACTAAGTATATCGATTATAAAAGATTGTGACGAACCCCTGTACAGAACCTCTAAAAGGGATACTGGTTAAAGGTAACTTCTAACAATTGGTTCGGTGCAGCTAAACAGTGCACAACAAGATGTCTCAATATAAACACTAGCTACCGTGAATATAAGCTTGAATTGCATACTGCGGAACTATCTATCTACACTAGCCAGTTCCTCCGTATATATAGACCTTGGGGCCGTAAGGTGCTCGCCCTGCTATGGGCCCGATTACTCCTAGCACATTGCATCCTGCATTGTGCTCGTCGTGCTATACCTCTGATCACTCCTAGCACATTGCATCTGCATTGTGCTCGTCGTGCTATGCCTCTGATCATCCCTAGCATCTTGCATCCTGCAGACTGCTCGTGAGCCTTAGCGCTATAGCACTTTTGCCTAGCCCTGATCGGCTTGTTCCCTGACTTCCTAAATGATTGGCTAGGGGCGACCTGCGCCCCACATGTGGCGCGACCTGCCGTTAGGTTAACTGTAACAAAGATTGCTTAGTCTGCTCAGCCGCCAAGACCACTGAGTATACTAAGTAAGGTATAAAAATATTTTAGAAATATATGTAGATAGCTGCACATAAATAGGAGGGAGCGCCTAGCCTCTCCGTGTCGAGGAATCTGATTCCTTACGTAAGTAATTAAATTTATTTATCTATAATCTACTCTTAAGTAGTTTTTTATAGAACGACCTATTATTAACAGTAAACCCCTTATCTAAGACGCTTGTCATAACCTTCGATTATCCTATTATATTTACCTCTAGCATACTACCTTGCAGTCTGTATCTACTCCCGGTGCAGGTTGTAATATCTAGGTCCTTCTTTTATTCTATTTAATATATATAGATTTCTTATTTTATTTTAAAAACTTAATAACTAAACCGTTTTCTCTTTAACCTTTTATTATATTTATCTTATTATAATTATATTTATACCTAAACTTAATTTAATTAATAATAAAATATAAATTAAAAAACTTATTAATATTCTTTATAGTAATTTCGTTAACTCTAACGTAATTAATTTTCTTTTTAATCTTTATTTTAATATCGGGATAACGATTAATAAAGTATAATACTTAATACTTATTAAGGGGGTTAAAATCGCTTTATTTAATTAGTAAACTAGCCGCTAAAGCTATTATATTAATATAAATAGGAATATAATTAAAACTTTTTTAACGGAAAATCTATTAAATAATAAAGTTTTTTTAACCGTAAGAAAATCGCTATTAGTTTTTATAAATAAAGTTCTTTAATAAAATACTATTAATATAGTGCGTTAGGGTAAAACGTAAAATCCTATATTTATTAAACGCTTTTCGTTAATTTATACTAATAGCAATATTTTTCTAGGTATTTTTAATTTCCTCCTCGGTATATTTAGCTATTGTTAAGTACCTAAAGCAAAAAAAAGTAAAAGAAAAGCTTTATTTTTGGTCTTTATAAGTAAAATATAAAGTATATATTAATATCGGGGGGTTTTCGGAGGTCCAGGGTTGTGGAAGGTTTAATGTGGGTAGATAGCTTAGGTAGTTCAAACTTACCTGAGCCACATCTATATATAGTCTACTTCCTTATTATCCAACCTATAGTGGAATAGAGCAGACCCCCAGTACACTAAGTACGGAAAGCCTTTTAATGCTAACCTATAGGAGGCTTCGAGCGCAACAAATGGCTGGATAATAGCACATCTCCCCCCCACTACATACAAATTATAAAATATATAACGTGTATAATAAGCGAGCGCCGTAGATAAGCGAGCGCTGTACTTTTCGACGCGACCTAACCCTCTACCTTTAACATTCCATTTTTAAACTAAAAACTATATTTTTTACCTCTAACGAAACTAAAGTAATTCTGGCCGCTAAAGCTATAAAAAACAATAAAAACCTAAGTAAACGAGCCGCAACGAAGATCTATAAAGTTAACGATAGAACTATTCGCCGTCGATTTACCGGTATACTTATACGACGTAATACTTTAATTAATTTACGTAAACTTACGGATTTAAAAGAAAAAACAATTATTTAATATATAATTAAGCTATTTATATGCGTATTTTATCCCCGGCTTTCGTAGATAAAAAATATAGTTAATCGATTACTATACGAACGCGACGCGCCTCCTATTAGTATACGATAGGCTTATAATTTTGTTAAACGTTAGTTAGAACTTCGGATACGTTTTACGTATAAATATAATTATTAAAGGGCTAAATATAAGGATTTAAAGGTTATTAGTAAGTAGTTTACCCTCGTACGGAATACTAAGGCTAAATATAGTATTATAAATAATAATATTTATAACTTCGACGAGATTAGGTTCAGAATAAGCATTATCGTTACTATTATAATTATTATAATTTCTAATAGCTATAGTAAAGCTAAATAGGTTTAGCTTAGTAATCGTAAATGGGCTACGATTATTTAAGGTGTAAATACTTTAGGTTAGGCTATCTTACTATTT